CGGGTGGGAATGGCCCTTTAGCAGTGCGCTTTTCACTTGTGCTCGTGACTAGATCTTGTCTTTGTTACTGAACACCTCATAGGATGCCTCATCACGTGCGCCACAGCACGTGGTCTTTCGATCCCATTGAGAGTCAACAATGGGTTCATCATTTTTAATTTCAGCAATACATGGTGGTCGGTGCTGATAGATTATCGCTCCCTCTGTCAAAAAAATAACTGATGATTTACGATTTTTAAGACAGACATTAAATAATCATTTTGGTTTCTAGGACAGTTAAATACTCTTGCACAAATATTGATGGAAAGAGGAGGTGTGTGTGAATGCAGAAGTGGTTCATTAATTTAAGTGGTCCTTATGGCCCATATTCTTCCTAAAACATCATTTGTTTTTGGGAAAATTTTAAAATCAATAACTGATGCTATTGTGAGAACGATGGAGCATCCAGTTAGTTGGGACTTTAAGTTCTAACCCAACCTCCTCGTAAATACTCCGCCCAGACAAGAGAGTCCCCTTGTTTTTTTTTCATAGTGTATACTGTATGCTTTTTTAAGTATTTATATTTCACAATTTCTTACCAAAGTCCCTCCGTTTCTATGTTGCACCACCATTTAATGTTTAACTTTCTCAAGTCTTTAATGCCTAAACCTCCTTGCTCCTTACTCTTGCGTATCTTTGTCCATTTCACTAGATGTTATCTTACACTCAACAGAATTGATTTTGAGTTCAGACATCATTTCAGACATATAAGCAACAATTTCATATTGACAACACCCTCAGTTTCTCCTTTTAGGCAGATAATAGTGTCATCAGCATATTGTAATATTATTGCTACACCTCTTGGTATTATATGGTCAACTAAGACAATGAAAAGCTTATTTTCCTAGGCTTTGGAGACCATTCTAGTTAATATTGCTACACCTCATGGGATAAAACTTATCTACATTGTTTTCAACACAAGAAAGTCTTGAAAATTAGGACATAAAATCCCTCTAAGACCGGCCTACATCAAGCAGCAGAAGGTTAAATTATTAGCCCTTGCTCTTAATGCGATTACTCGGTCTCCAAGTACTCCTTGGTTTCTGCGCCCTGTTCGCCTGGCTTATAAGCCTTATTTTTCAGCCAACAAACAGTATTGTTCTCTCATAATAAATCAGTCAACAGTACTTTCAGCCATGGCTTATCAGCCAAACGAACAGGGCACAGGAATTTGGGTTCCAGCGTCTAAGAAACTGGACCGCAGGGAGTAGTAGTTGGAAAAAATGAGAATTTGAGTTTGTAGCCATACTACATACTAGGCAATAGACCGAGCAATGAAAATACAGTTGGTTGAAGATAGTAGTTCTAGTTCTTTTCATAAACGGTTTTATTGGAACTAGTAGCATTCTAGTAAGGGTCTGTTTGGATGTACCCAACTAAAGTTTAGCTAGCTAAAATTTCAAAGTAAAACTTTAGCCAGCTAAAAGTTTTCTAGCTAAACTTTAGCTGAGGTGTTTGGATGCTCCAGCTAATAGCTTTAGCTGAGTTGAAATAGCTAATCCCAGCTAAACTTTAGTTGGTCTTTTAGCTGGGCTGTTTGGATGCCTAGCAGCTAAATTTAGTCAGCTAAAGTTTAGTTGGTGCATCCAAACAGGCCCTAAGTTGGAGATAGTTGAGCAGCGCTATAGTTTTAGGTATTGTTTGGATGCGAGGACGAGCTGGGACGGAATGGGATGGACCTGGGATGAGCGATGTTTAGTTGGGAGGCCACCAGGAGCGAGGACGTCCCACATGGGAATATTCTCGTGAGACGCGGGTTCCCTCGCCCCCAGAAATTTGACAGACAGGGTCGCCCTAGGTGGGATGAGTGGCTCGCTTGCGAGGAAGAACGAAGAGGAGGCGCGCCGGTCGCGGACGGGGCTGTGGGCGAGGGCTCAGGTCAGGGCCGTAGACATGGCTGCAGTCGAGGGGGCGGTGGTGCGAGGGGCTGCGCACGCAGGCAGTGACGCGAGCGGCGGCGGAGGCGCGAGGAGCTGCGCGTGGGTGGGGCGAGCGCACAGAGCTCCGCGGTTGCTGGTTGTGCACGCGCTCGCGTGAGCTCTACAAGGAAGATGCCTGATTGGGAACGAAGCAAAAAGGAAGAGGAGGAAGTAAAAGAAAAAACTAACAAATGGGTCCCACCTGTCAGTAGCTGAATTCGCTTTTGATGTCTCTGAACTAAACATAAAACGGGTTGGTTCCATCCATCCTCAACCTAATAGAAAATGGGCTCGTCCCGTCCCATAAACCACGTCTCATCTCACCTTGTCTCCAACCAAACGCTACCTTATAGACAACTTGGTGAGAGAACGGAGTTCAGTATGCCATGCTCGTTTGGACCGAGAAGGCAAGGGAGAAAGGGCCAACGGATCTATGTTTGTTTAGTGTATTGTGTTAGATGTACAGTACATAAACTATTTTTTATTATCTTGTAGGCTGATTAAAGTTCGATATTATTATTTTCCTGCTATGATCACTCACATGATATTTAACCTACCTATAATAAATATTTACTTGGCTATGGGTTATTTTTTAATTACATTGTTATCGCCCTAAGAGGCTAAGACAGTATATTTACGACCGGAGGGTTATTATATACCTTTGTCAGTTTATACCTGATTCCTCGGCTTACGATGAACAATACTCCCTCGGTTCAAAAAGAATGCAATTTTAGATTTATGATGAGACAAACTTTCTTAAGTTTGAATAAACTTATGAGAATAGTATTAATATAAAAATATATTTCATAACTAATTTGATGATATTTATTTGGTATCATTAATATTAGTAATTTTTCGTATAGATTTAGTCATACTGAAACTTTTTGACTTAGAACTGGGTCGTGCATTTTTTTCAAGGGAGGAAGTATTATAAGCACGCATCACACCTCGAATCTGGAATCTCGACTGGAGGGAAAGCTGTGTTACGCTAGGATGGTTTTTCAAGTCGCCTCCCCAGGGCCTTGGTGGGCCGGCAAAAGAAAATGATATTTCATTTTGTATAGTCGCTGCTACGCCGTACTGTGACCGGCCATACAAGGAACCACCGGTTAGTGGTTAGTCCCTTGCTTATAAGTGTGCGCAGATCCAGCCTTTGCAGCACATTGTTCATTGCATTGCTCACACACTGTCCACTGATCAGTCCACCAACCACTCAGGCGGCCGGCCGAATCCATCTCTGCCAGTACCGGAGGAGGAGATGGAGGCGGCTCTCGGAGGGGCGAACTGGCTCCTCGACCAAGTCCTCAACAAGCTCTCCGACGACTTGGTGAAAGCCTAGTGTCCAGCTCCGAGCTCGGCCTCAACCTTGACAAGATGGAAAGGGAGATGCTCTACACTAGAGCGCTGCTGGGCGAGGTCCAGGGGAGGGACTTCACCAACAAACCTGGCCTGCAGGGGCTGCTCGAGAAGCTCGGCAAGAAGGCTGACGAGGCTGAGGATGCTCTGGACGAGCTCCACTACTTCATCATCCAGGACAAGCTGGACGGGACTCGAGATGCCACTCCGGACTTGGGCGGTGGCCTCGGCGCCAAAGCTCAGCATGCCCGCCATGCTGCTCGCCACACTTCTGGTAACTGGCTCTCTCGTGCTTCTCTTGTTGCCGTTCACAAGATGATGTTGCTGCTTCCATGTCTCTTGACCACGGTGGCCATGTTGAAAAGTTGCCATTCAACCGGGTGGAGATGTCCAACAAAATCAAGCAGCTCATACAGGAGCTGCACTCTAACTGTACTCCTGTTTCTGTCTTGCTTAAGATAGTGTCAGGCAGTAAACCCCAGCCACACATGCCTGCCTTCACTAAAAGGCCCTACACAAGCTCTAAAATCACACAGAAGTTGTTTGGGAGGGATGCTATCTTTGAGAAAACTATAAATGAGATTATCAGTGTGACACAGAGTGATAAAATATTGTCCATTCTTCCTATAGTTGGTCCAGGGGGCATTGGAAAGACTACCTTCACCCAGCACCTATACAATGATACAAGGATTGAACAACATTTCTTTGTTAGGGTCTGGGTATGTGTATCTACTAATTTTGATGTCCTCAAGCTCACCAAAGAGATCCTGAGCTGCCTAGATGCAACTGAAAATGCAGGAAATAAGATGGCAAATGAAACTACCAACTTAGACTTGCTTCAAAAATCCATCAGAGAGAGGTTGAAATCCAAAAGGTTTCTAATTGTCATGGATGACATATGGGAATGCAGCAGTAACGATGAGTGGGAAAAACTATTAGCTCCATTCAAAAAGGACGGGTCCAGTGGCAACGTGATTCTTGTCACAACTCGGTTCCCAAAAATTGTAGAAATGGTGACAAAAGAAACTAATACAGTTGACCTTCGTGGTTTGGATCCTAATGAGTTTTGGAAATTCTTCCAAATATGTGCATTTGGTGGAATCCAAGATGAGCATGATGATCAAGACTTCATTGATATTGCAAGACAAATTGCAGATAAGTTGAAATGTTCCCCACTTGCAGCCAAAACAGTCGGTTGGTTATTGATTAAGAAACCATTTCAGGAACATTGGATGAAAATTCTTGACAACAAACAGTGGCTAGAAGAAAATCATGACAATGATATTATCCCAGCATTGAAAATTAGCTATGACTACCTCCCCTTCCATTTGAAAAAAAATGCTTTTCATGTTTTCCCTTTTCCCTGACGATTATAAATTCGAGAAGCTTGAGATTATTCGTTTTTGGGATTCAATTGGCATCATAGATTACACTAGGAAGAATAAAAAATTTGAGGACATAGGATCAAATTATTTGGATGAACTATTACATAATGGTTTCATTATAAAAGGAGATGATAATAATTATGTAATCCATGATTTACTCCATGATCTTTCACATATCGTTTCATTAGAAGAATGTGCCTATATCAGTTGTTCTAGTTTTGAGGCAAATGAAATCCCAAAAACTATTCGTTACCTATCCATTTTCATGCATGACACTCATATTTAGAATTTTAAGGAAGAGATGGATAAATTGAAGGAAAGGATAGATATTAAGAATTTGCGGAGTTTGATGATTTTTGGACAATACAGTAGGTTACACCTTATCAATGTTTTAAGAGACACTGTTAAGGAGACAAAAAGGTCTTCGTGTTCTATCTATATTCATGAACTCCCATGGTTCCTTAAAATTTGCCTCATTACTCAAAAGTATCTTTGCCAAGCATAGTGTCCAGGTTTTATCACTTGAAATTTCTAGATGTTAACCGATGGGGAAGTAGCTGTTCTCTGCCTAAAGGCATTTGCCGCCTTGAAAATTTACGCCATTTTGTTGCTAAGAAAGAATTTCATTCCAATGTTCCTGAGGTGGGGAAAATGAAATTTTTACAAGAAATGAAAGAATTCCATGTTAAGAAAGAGAGCATTGGCTTTGAGCTAGGAGAGTTGGGGAAACTAGAAGACCTTGGAGGAGAGCTCAATATACATGGGCTTGAAAATGTAACAACCAGACAAGAAGCTAAAGATGCCAAACTAATGGCAAAGAGAAATTTAGTAGAGTTGGGATTAGTTTGGAATAGGAACCAAGAGTCCACTGGAGATGATATCCTTTTTTTAGAAAAGGCTGGAGATGATATCCTAGATAGTCTCAAGCCACACTCTAATATTAGAAGACTTTGCATTGTAAATCATGGTGGCTCAGTTGGTCCTAGTTGGTTGTGCAGCAACATCATATACATGAGAAACTTGGAGACCCTACATCTAGAGAGCGTATCATGGGCCAACCTTCCACCTATTGGGCAGATGTATCACTTAAGAAAGCTGAAGCTAAAAAACATTCTTGGGATATCTCAGATTGCACCTGATTTCTTTGGTGGTACTACAGAAGAAAGTTTCAGGCACTTGATGGAAGTTCTCTTTTATGATATGCCAGACCTTGTAGAGTGGGTTGGGGGAGCTAACTGTCATCTGTTATCAGGGCTTGAAATAATCATCTGCGCTGATTGTCCCATGCTCACAACGCTGCTGATCTCAGGTTGGCCTATTTCTTCTACAGAAGGCAACACTAAATGGTTCCCTAGCCTTCGTGGTCTTCACATTCTTGGATGCCTGAAGTTGTGCCTTCCTCCCATGCCTCACACTTCGATGGTATCCCGTATTTATACAGACTGGTTGGCTTATGATCGTACTAAGTTGGACATTAGTAAGTCCTCTGAATTGGTTTTCCGCAATCTTGGTGATGTAGAAAGGTTGACAATTCAGGATGCATCATGCTTCTCATTTATGGATCTTCAAAAGCTACATTCCCTAAGACATATAGAGGTCAGTAGATGTGAGGAAACCTTTTTGAGAGGACTGGATGATGGTGTTGTGCTCCACACAGTCCAATCTCTCAAACTCGAACACTTTTCACTTACCAGAAAATCCTTGTCAAATTTGTTCGAATGTTTCCCAGCTCTTTCTCGTTTGAATGTCAGCGCATCATCAGATGAGGATCATGAGGAGGTGGTACTGCAGTTTCCACCCTCCAGTTCGTTGAGAAATGTCCGCTTCTGTGGGTGTAAGAATCTGGTCCTGCCTGTGGAGGAAGAGGAAGGAGTTGGGTTCTGTGGCCTCTCGTCACTCGAGTCCGTGACCATAAGCAATTGTGACAAGCTATTCTCTCTGTGGCCCATGGGAGGAGGAGCTCAGACTCAGAGCATCATCTACCCTCTCCCCCCTTCCCTCAAGAAACTCAGGCTTGTGGGTGAGCAAAGCACGCTGCCAATGGCTCTGCTCGCGAATCTCACATCTCTTACCAGTCTACAACTAGTTAATTGCATGGATATCACAGTGGATGGGTTTGTTTCTCTCATCACAATCAACCTCGAGCGTTTGACGGTGTACAATCGGAGAGATGGTGAGGCTGAGCCATACTCTGTAGCAGGCGATGTACTTGCAGCGGTGGCAAGGACCCAAACAGTGCCCGCCGGTTCCTTCCAACTGGTGAGCCTTTATGTGGACAGCATCTCTGCAGTGCTTGTTGCTCCCATCTGCAGCCGCCTCTCCGCTACCCTCCAGAGGTTATTCTTCAGTGCTGATTGGCGGACAGAGAAGTTCATGGAAGAGCAGGACGAGGCGCTTCGGCTCCTCACGTCTCTCCGAATCCTGTGGTTCCATGGCTGCAGGGCTCTGCGGTCCCTCCCCCAAGGGTTGCGTCGCCTTCCTTCTCTCCAGGAATTACGAATCTCGGGGACTCAAAAAATCAGATCGCTGCCCAAGGAGGGCCTCCCCGATTCACTGCGAAATTTAAAAAATAATTGCAGTCCCGAGATTTATGAGGAATGCCAGAAATTAAGGGAAACAAGGCCTGATATACATACTATTGCCTTCATTCGTGACGCGGAAAGCTGAATCTCTGCTTCTGCATGCCTTTCATGCACTCTAACTCTTCCTTGTACATCGATTTGCAGGTTAGTTCCTAATAAAAAAAACAGCTTATGCTTCTCAATTTATGGTTTCATTGACTGTGCAAACTGAACTGTTTTTTTTTTTAAAAAAAATTGCATATAGATATGACCCATTGTCATATGCTTCTGTGTTACCATTGGAGCCACCATTCACGATTCATGTTCAACTATTTATTTCTTTATCCAACAAATTCAATCTCTCCTACAAATTCAATTTCTGGATCATATCACTTTCTAGCATTTTTCTGAATATTGCATTATTGCACTGAATCTCGTACCGTAAATTGGTACTTTTAGGAAGAAAAGAGAATTGTTTCAACGGATAAAGACCATGCCATTATTACTTAGTTCATTCTTCTTGTGGCATGTCACGAATGGCTGCGGATTGCTTACTTCATCTTCATGACCTTATAGGTAAATGCTCGTGCGTTGTAATAGGAACACATAATACCATGATAACATATATATGAGCATGTGTTATACTGTTATCTAAAATAGATACCGCAATCATAATGTTCCAATCAATTTTACATAAGTCTTCACAAAAGATAGATAGTTAAAATATAACTCTAAATTTGAATGCAAAATTGAAACATCAACATCAAGTGTCGTATCACTTCATGCCTACGATACGCGAAAGATAAGCTTGCACTTCTTGAGGAATCAAGTGCTATGGAAAGATAATCATAACAAGTTTGTGTTTCACAATACATGTTTTACAGTCTATTCTACAATTAAGAATCTAATTTCTTAATAGTTCGACTAAGAAAACGTGCTTTGCATAAATATCAAGCTACAGTTGGTCACCAATCAATAATGATCCAGAAGATTTTCTAGTCCAAGACGCGGCGTCTGACTTCTTGCAGCTGAAGCATGCAGATGGCTGAAGCTATAGTTAAAAGTATCCTACATATAAGTTGTTTGTTAATTTTTTAAAGTCAAAGTACCATTGATATCCTGAAAAATATGTATCGACGTGTGATGCATTACCTCTTTTATGGAGTTAGAACCTCTTTATATACGATATTCTTTATGAATATATCCTTTGTCGCTTTCTTCTTTCCATTCCCTTTCCCTTTCCCCTTGTTCACGTCCTTCTCAGCAGCCGGCACGGCTAGGATTCTAATGTTCGTTCTTGTCGTAGCTCTTGATAGCGCCACATACAATTGGCCGTGCGAGAACACTGGTTCCGACAAGTATACCCCGACGTTAGGGATAGTCTGCCCCTGCGACTTGCTAACGGTCATCGCAAAGCTGAGCCATATAGGGAACTGCTTTCGCTTAAATTGGAAATGGAACATCTCATCGTCCGACGGGCATAAGGGTATACGAGGCAGAAAAACCCGCTTTCCAGCGTGCTGTCCCAACACAATTTTCGCGTCTATGGTATTCTTTTGAAACCCCCGTATGATAAGCCTGGTACCATTACAAAGTCCGTATGCAAGGTCAATGTTCCTAAGCAATATTACCGGACAACCAATCTTCAGCTTCAACACATGTGGAGGTAGACCATTGGGTGTCAAAGTGTTAAGGAATTCCTCAGGGTAGTAGTTGTGCAGATCATCCACCACACAGTCAAAATTATGGTACACCATCTCTTTCCCGTGGAAAAGACCTATCATCTTTATATTAATCATATCAACCTAGTCGTTCCGCGTAGATATGATCGCTCGAGAGGTGATATAATCTTTGCTTGACATATTCGCATTGAGGTTAGGGAATATGCAGTCAATTAGAGTATCAAGGTCACTATCTTTCTCGATGTGCGGTACGCATATATCATGAGGAAGACAGATTTCATCATCAACAGTTGCCTCCTCAGATCCTCCACCGACACGCAACAAGTATTCTGCAAACCACAGGTCGCTCTTTGCCCTCATATTGCGCACCAGTTTTAGGTGTCGCATGGAATCCCAAAGGTACGACATACACAGTGAGGCACCGACCACCTGAGCCCTCAACCCTCTTCGAACAACGGGAAGAACCTGTCTAAAATCTCCACCGAACACCACGGTCTTCCCACCGAATGGCAGCTCTAGTCGGTCCATTATATCACGGAGACTGTTGTCCAGCGCCTCGATAGACTGCCTCTTTGTCCTGCTAGCCTCGTCCCAAATAATGAGAGATGATGCTCGAAGCAACTTGGCAGTACCACTCTATTTCGTGAAGCGTGAGTGGGCGGTTCTACCACCGGGTATTATTGAGGCTACGACACCAGATGTAGTTGTTGCCATAGCAATCTTTTTCTGACTATGTATAGTAGCGAGATGTGCTCTGTACAGATAAGTCTTTTCGGTCCCGCCAGGACCATCCACAAAGAAGAGACCCCCATCCTCGGTATCAACCGAGGACATGATCTCATCGTATGCAGCCCGTTGCTCCTCGTTAAGGGTGTCTGACAAAGCCACATCATCCTCGTTAGCCTCAATGCTAGCCTCCTCAAAAATCTCTCTAGGAATATCACGAGAGGCATTATATGTGTCATCAATATCAGGAAGTGGGTACATCTTTATATCCTTCTGCATTGATTGTAGCAATTTTTGAATATCCATGAGGACCATCTGCTCCACCATGAAGGTGGATTGATTATTGCGCCTGTAGTCCTCTGACATTGCCTCTTTGTGTTTCTCCCACAGTCCAAACACATCACTGGACTCATAAAATACCAATATTGTTGCAAAGAGCCTTCGTAGCACATATGGCATCATCCACCCGGTTGCCTCAGCGAGACTCTCATTCAGCGTGTTGTCCTCTTCGATTAAGCCCCTTCTTTCTGTAGCTTCATGGAAGGTCGGTAGGATTTTGCCATCCACGGTCCATAGACACTCAAAGGAGGTTGCACCTGCCACGTGGTTCAAGAGAACCCTAAGATAGTAATGCTCCCCCTCGGCTGGATTGGTAGACACGATTCTTCCAATCTGTCGTAATGTATCATGGCGTATCCTATTTTGCCAAACTTTGCCCTGTGCTTGCCACGTATAGAACTCGGGAAAGTCCTGATACAATATACCTCAAGTTGTTTCATCTGTCCTATTCTTCTTGAAGTACGTTGTAAGCATTGACTTGTCAGCACCTGGACGATCAAGCACTCGTTGAATCACCTGGCGCCGATGAAATGACACCATGTGCATGTCTAGAAGATGTAGCTGTAAGGACAAAACAAAAGGGTACCTACCACTCAAATCAAACCTGTATATCCTCCACAAGGCTTCTGGGGGGGTTACCCATCTAGCATCTCTATACTGCTTGATCTCATCAACGTTCCCTTCACTATCCTCCTTGTTAGCCTCTCTCATAGCCATAGACGCCCGGTCATGACCCTTGTAAATGTACTTAAACAGATACTTGACTGCCTTGATGCTCCCACATGCCTCAACATTGATGTGGCAGTTGAATAGACAGAGGAGATATGGGTTGTAAGGCATGACCCATCTGTTGTCAAGCTCGTGTCCGCGAACTTTTTCTTTTCGGCCATCTTCACACCGTTTGTAAATTGGATATGAATCCTTGCCTTGTACTGTGACATCGCAGAAAGGTCTAGGGTAACGGTTCTTGTAGGAATTTATCACGACCCTGTGTGCATGGACAATCGCGATTAAGCACTCCGCAAGGGCCATGCATCATATATTTGGTAATCATCTTGTACAAGATTGGGTACTTCTTAAAGTTCGGGAGCTCAGCTGAGATGAGGCGATCATACAGCTCTAGGCATGTGATCTTGTACTTCCTATCCATGATTAGCAAAAAATGTGCATGTGGCAGACCCCTCTTCTAGAACTCCACAACATAAATATGTGCCCGCACCTTTCCAAGGATATCCTTTTTTAGTAGTCTATCCTTCAGCTCTTGTAGTTTTCCTCTAAAGACCCGAACAACGAGATCTGGACGATCTTGTGGTGTCTAGCCAGGGTAGAGTTCACTCTTGATCTCATCCCAGTTTGGGTTACATGTCATAGTCAGGAAGATGTCCGGTTTACCAAACCTCCGTACTACAGCCATGGCATCCATGTACTGACACCTCATGTCACGTGGGCCTCCAATAAATGATGAAGGCTATCCTCCCGATCGACCTCGATTATGAAGCGCCGAGGGTCAGGGTGTACGACGAACAGGGAGCCGAGGCATCCCTCGAGGATGCCATGGACCAGCTAGATGAAGCACGTGACATCACCCTCCTCTGCTCGGCCAAGTACCAGCAAGCGTTGCGCTGGTACCACAGCCGTCGAGTGCGGGGTCGGGCCTTCAACGTCGGAGACCTGGTGCTCCACCTCATCTAGAGCAACAAGAACCACCACAAGCTCTCTCCGCTGTGGGAGGGACCATACGTCATCGTGGAGGTGCTCCGACCAGGCACCTACAAGCTCAAGACCATCAAGGGTGAAGTCTTCAACAATGCCTAGAACATCGAACAACTGCGTCGTTTTTACCCTTAATATACACACACTTTCTCTTATCAGTTTTGCTACCAACTCCCCGATCTTTAGTGACACCCGACCCCAGCAACGGTAGGGGGTCGGGCCTCACTCGGGGGCTAATAAGAGCATATGTATCCGGTAGACATTCTCTACGACCGACCCTTTCTCACGTTAAGACCCAGAAGCAAGGATTGTGGAAACAGACGCTGAGTAAAACTGGTTGGACTGCAAGAAACCTACGCCCCAGCGGCTACGGTGTTTTTGCTCACTAGTGTGATCAAAGTTTTTTCGCACCCCGAGCTTTTTAGCCTTAACTACAGAAAGAGTCGGTACGTGTCTAAGAGTATATCCACCTGGCAAACATTCTCTATGACCGACCCCCTCTCACGTTAAGATCTAGAAGCAAGGGTTGCAGAAACGAGCGCTGAGTAAAACTGGTCGAACTACAAGAAACCTACGCCCCAGCAGCTACGGCGTTTTTACTCACCAGCGTGATCAGAGTTTGTTCACCCGCACCCCGAGCTTTACA